GCACAGGAAGTATGTCCCGTACGGATGTAGCGTGTGTGCGTGTGTTGAAGCGGAATACATGAAGCTGCCGAATCTCTGTTGGAAATATAGTCACGTCACGTGCGCCAGTGGAAAGCAATCGCTATGGCTTTCAAGTTTCAAGGAACAGACTCGAAGCCAGTTATTTGACGTCGCTTCCAAGATGCATAATATGCTGAGCTCTCACGTCATCGACCTGGAATTCTCTGCCCAGCCAAGGAATTTATGCCCTCCTGGAAATATCAAATATTTTCGCTGAATTCTGTAAAATACGCTGCCCTGTTCTCTTCTCTCTGTATAAAGGAAAACAACCAGGTATTAAATTGCCCTGAGTGCTCCAATTCTTGGATATTTGTAAAATCATTTATGTATCATATAATATTATTATTTTATATCATATTATGACAGATTAACATTTCTAATATTATTATTATAATTAAGAGTAATAAGGTTATACTGATTTTGAAAAAGATCAAGTGTAAACGTAACAATTATGTAGTTCATTGACGCTGCAAGGGTAGATTTCCAAGAATATGATTGGCTCTACAAAAAAAAACCATTTTCTCTATTGCAAAATAATTGGAACAGTCGAAATGGAATCAATTGCAAAGCTAATCAAGTTCAGTGATATGTCCGTGAAAATTCACCCTAGCAGAGTTGATACTTCACGTAATTTAATGATCCTCAAAAATCTATGCAAATACAATTGGGAAAGAGTCTCACCAATTATTATCATTGGTTTGGATGTGGTTATTTACAATTGGAAATTAAATAGCTTGTGTTTTAAACTGCTTCTTGCAATCGAATGAAGGAAATAATTGTGAACATTTCATATAACCTGCCTCCATTAGGACCTTGGGATGATTGGAGACCGATTTACAGTTTAAAGTATTTGTTAATTATTCAAAAATACAATAGTGAAAAAGACAATTAAAAATATTAATTAGTTTAATTATTATTTAAAACTTTACCAATCAAAAAATAATAAGCGAATTTTTTACGGTAAAATTTGCATTTGGGAGACTGGTAAAAAATGAGATTGCACTCCCTTTGTTTTCTATTCGCTAAACTAATTAACATTTTCAATTTTCTTTTTCACTATTGTATTCTTGAATAATTAACTTATATACCTGATCTTTTGATTTAATTTTGGGTCAACACTGATCTTCAATAATAAATATTTTACTCATCAGTACAACATTAATAAATCGGAGACAATTATAAACAATTCGTAATTGCCTTCGTACAAATACAAGTTGTTGAGAAATGAATATAATTTAAATCATTGAAGAGAAACTAGCATAATGGAGGTCGTATTTTGAAAGTTGTAGATGGGAGGAAATTCTAATCTCATTTTAGTCTAGGATTCGCAATCTAGACCAAATTTGTCAACTGCTCGGGTTTTGTTTTCATGGCACAATGCCCGCGCTCAAGAGAGAAGCAATGTGTTTGTGGTCAATCGTCAACAACAGCAAACGACAGAAAACAAATATAAAAGGAATAATTAAGACTAGAGTTACTGGCAAAAGTAAATACAAAGAAACATTAAACAACAAATGTATCTTTTTTCCATAGTAAAAAGAACTCGTAACGTCACCAATAAACCAGGATTTTATGGTCTTACCAGCTGTCCTGAGGTTATAAAAGATTGACATAATTTACATGTTCTTGTTTTATTTTACTAAACTTTAAAACCTTTAAACACTTATAAAATTGTACTTCTTAATTATTGAATTGTTTTTTGTTTTTCTTTTTCAATAAATTAAATTATAAGAAAATTTATTTATTTAAGTATTTTCCAAATCATACTAACTGAAAAATAAGTTAAAAAATAATTTTTAATAAAAAACTGTTTTTCTGGAAAATGAAAAAATCCCTTATAAATTTAAAGGAAATGAGACTATGTCATAATTTTTTTTATTGTAAAACAATACCTACAATCAAAATAGTTTATAAATTTCCTTCAAATATTAAACTTTCTAAACATAATATTTTATATATACATAGATAAAGTTTTATTCAAGTTTTAACCTAAATTAATTTCAATTCAGTTACATGAGTTTAGCTAAAATTATTCTAGAAGGTTACACAAAATAATGATCCTATTCGAAACAAGATTATTCAGAAGTTTACAACTTTTGTGAAACAAGGAGAATATTGTATATCTAACATATGCATCATTTATTTTATTCCTTTCTTGAAAGAGAATACATTATCTCTTAAATACGAACAAAAAGGAAATATACGATCTACTACTGTCCACTCGATTCAACCTTTTCCTTATTTCAAGTAATGTTTATTTAAGTATTTATTTTATAGATCGGTAGTTTACAACTTTAATATAATAATGGATTTGATGATTGAGATTTAAATCCGCAGGAAATACCTATAATTGTATTATTACAAATACAATTAAACAAGAAGCAGTCACAAAACTGAAATATTTTTGATATTAAAAACATGAATCTTTAAAGAATAGAAAAATTTATTCTTTAGTGGAAATAATCTCAAGATCGTCACAGAGTAAGCGTCTTGCAGTCTTTAATTAATGTCCAGTCATTATAATGTTTAATTAAACGTGAGTTGACAATGCTTATATATAATAGCAATCAAGTGAAGTAATGTTTGCACCTTTGATTACATGGTTAAAAATACTTTCAATTAAAACGGTCGCAGTAATCCAATTTGACTTGATCAATGTCTTAGCATTTTGTAACGTTAAAACGAAAAGTTTTATTTAACCACAGAAAATTAATGATAGCAATAATAAGTAACCATTTTCTTGAAAGGAGGAGGTGAAATGTTTTATTCACATTTTATGTCTCCTTATCTTAGGACTCTCTATAATTATTTGTACTAAATCTTTACAAATATCTTCTTAGGTTCCTCGAAAGTCTTTGCAACTTCCACTTCCTGCGACGTGGTTGGTGTACACCACAGTTGATTGACCGCAAAGGAAGAAGGGGCAGCTTCATACCTCTAGCTAATAATAATTTATCAGTATCAATGGTTTTCTTAACCAAATTTTATGGATTAGCCCCATTTCTCCTGCTATCTCTGAACGAGTCTATGTACTTCTGGACTATCTACATATTACCGTTTTGAGTCTATTGCTACGTTCTGAAGTACCCTCCAGATCTTTGTTAAGCTGGAAAATCTCCTGCCTTTCCATCATCAATAAATCCATTGGCGGTAATTTAGCAAGTACCAGAACAGCGCAAGTAGCGCCGAGAGAAGTCTATCAAAGATGCTTTGGATCTTTAGGGCCGAAGCCCAAACAGGGGTAGCATAAAGCTGCTTTGCTTGAACCACATTCGCCACTAGTTTTCGTTTGCTTTCCCTGGGGCTACGGATATTGGGCATCATCCTCGAAAATATTTCCATGCATTTGGTGCCTTTTATTGAAGATAATTTGAAAAGAGGTCAAGCATTCAATCTAATTTTTATTATTTAAATATTTTTTATTTCTAACATTTATTTAAATTTTGTTTTTGAATTTTTTAATTATCACAAATTTTTAGTTGTAAATGTAAATATTTGAAAGAGAAGATAAAATCTCAATTATAGATGATTGCAGTATATAAGGTCGAGGACGACATGTATTTTATAAAATAAAGTGGCGTAATCGTATAGCAAATAGGTACATAAAACAGTGGACGCTATTACCTTCCAAAAGCATTGGCTAATGGTAGCTATTACAATTTCTCGCTGGACACCCAAAACAATGATTGGAGATATCTCGTGCGCCAGAATTAATTTAAACAACGAATAAAGACGACAGGTGCACTTTATTTTCTGTCAGATATTTCAAAAGAGAAACAAACAAACGAGTCTCACTTCCAATCTGATAAAATGTGTCTCACAAACCCCGATATATTACCGTGTAGCTTCTCCTTTAAGCAAAATACTCTCGGCGCACTATTTACTTTCTCGACTTACGGTCATTATTATTCGCGAGACACTTCGCTAAATTCGCTATGATCCCACTATATGTTCCTATCTAGCCTTTGCGCAGTAAATCCCCCTTTTCCCCATTATCTCCTTCTGTATCGTGATATACATATAGAGATGGCACCTGGCATACAGTGTGCCTACTAAAAAGAGGTGCCATCTCTCGAATGAGATAAGCAGAGATAAGGGATATTATATACCATCAATGCGAAATATTACTCCTCTGTGTTTACCAAGTGGTTGCAAAGTTTTAGTACAAAATTGAGGATTTTGACTTTATCTCACACTAAATAACTCATGTGTCTTGATGCAAGAGAAATATGCTATCCTAGCAATCTTACCGGAAGCAATAATATCTAAGGCGAATGAAAAGTTGTGCTAAAGCCAAGAAACAGAAAAACATATAAATTAAAGATTTGAAATCTCAAAATAAATTGGGTTTTTGTTAACCAGGGAATACTTTTAAAACAAAATTTATCAGTACTGGCAACTACTTTTGTTATGCAGTCAATGCTATTTTAATATCACATTTTCTTTCCGCTTACTAAATATTGAATCACCATTGATATATTTGTTAATAAAAGAAATTTCATCGAATTCAAATGACACCGTTTCATAATTAAATTTGATCCAATAAAATTTTATAAATTATTAAACGAAAAACAAAAATAATTCTACATTGAATGTTAAAAAAAAAGTTAATTGATTTAGTGTAAAAGAGACACAGGAATTGGAAGCGTTTATAAAATTTTAACCGATCCAATATCAGATCACGTGCATTTTAATTTTAATCTATCTTCTGAAAATTCGTTCTGTTACAACAAATGAATAATATCTTGTGTCAAATATAATTGCAATTCGTCCGTATTGATTTTTAAACATTTTACTAAAACAAGAGATTTTAATAAATTATATATATTACAAAATGTCAAAATTTTCAGTAGACATCCTCAATATGGTGTGAATAATAAATATCATTAAATATTTCATAACAATAATTATTGATTGAAATTTTTTTTTATTTTTCTCAGGTCGCATTTTGGATGAGAAAAAATATTGGACTGCTTCTCAAGAATGGTGGGAAGTGACTGGAAACTTGAAGAAGTTGGTAAGTTCTATGTTCCTTTCTGTCGATTTGTCATCTACAAATATCGAATTGAGTTAAAACGGGACTATTAGTTCACACAAGTGAAGTTATTGGTGCACCGACTTTATTGAGTTTACATCGAAAGTTGTTGAAGCGATAATTGTTATTTATGACACCAAACTTATAAGATATTGGCAAAAGTATCTTTTAGAGTGAATATATTATTTATAAAAAAAAATCAAAAAATAATAATCTATATATGATTATTAAATTAATTTACTAAAAGAAAAAAATTAAATCATAATTAAGAAAATTTTTATTTCTATTATATTAATTAATTTACATTTCATAAGCATTTCATTATATGTTTGTAAATTCTCTTGTGGGATTTAACAAAGATATTGTCGCTTAAATTTGAAATGTTCTTTAGTAATTCATTACTGCCCCGCAAGTATAAGCGCATTGTATGATATTCTGAAAGATTATCGATTATCGTGACTTGGCACGTATTGCATTTTTTCCCTAGTGCATTATAAATTAAAATAAAAGAACGTACTATGAAAATTGATGAATGCTGCATAGACGTTTTTTTGTATTATAAATACTATGCCGCGAAAAGAATTCTCGCATTTTTCCCATGTGTGAAGAGAATATGATATTGCTTTCTCATAAAGGAAGCATTGTGTTGGTAAAAATTTTCGTTTACGATTTTTTGACATATTTCGATGTTATTTGATCCAGAATTCAAAAATGAAAATTTTTTTCTCTTTTTAATTTTCTTCGAAGATGGTTTTTATTGGAGGAGCTTTACTGCATCAGATCCTAACAGCATGCGGATATTCAGCATGTCCTATTACATACAGGATATAAAACGAAATTCGGCCTTTAGCTTGGCAGGGCCTACATTCTCATTTCTCAAACACGATGGAGCTGATACTATAATCGTAAATCGATGATTTTATTCCCTTAATCGCATTTCCCTTTGCAGTCTTAAAAGGAAATAGTGTGTGCACCTCGTGGGAAACAGAGATCCCCACATGTATTATTATCGCACTCCTGCGACAAACTTCTCGCTTATGGTAATCTCCTATGTCTCCTACTTGATGCACAATGTATTATTAAATTATTATTAATGTCAAAAGCTTGCAAATTGACAAATGAATAAGAATTTTTAGATTTTTTAAAAATTTTTATTTTATTTTATCAATACAATCAATATTCCGGATTAATAATTTAAACCAAATTAAACAAACTTTAAAATATATTTTTAAAGTTTTAACAATTTATTTTCATAAAGTCAGAATAAAAATACAACAAAATAATTTTAAACGTCACTGTCGACAAATATGGGGATATAAGCAGTTATTTAAAATGAGGACGTCCTCATTTTGACCGAAATATATTTCCCTGTTGTCAGCCGTTTTATATATAGATAGAAAAACACTGAATGTAAATTACCATATTTGCAATAGGTATTTCATTTTTAACAAAAACATTTAAAATAAAGAAAATTTAATTTAATACATTATTATTAAATAATAATTATTATTATTAAATGTAGGTAAATATAAAAATGGAATGACCTAATAAATTATTTCATTTTGAGACGGAATAATTTCTATTTTAAAGAAAAATAATTAAATAAGACGATAAAATAAAGATATAAATTGCACGCGGACGCCAGTTAATTTATTAATTAAAATTAACAAAAGACTTTAAAAATCACAGAGACGGAAGTTGGTGAATCCAAAAAATAAAAGATTAAGCGACTTCCAGGAATACGAATTTATTACAAAAGATAAAATAAAATGAAGTACATTAATCACTTACTTGAATTAGATAAAATATGATCAAATATCGACTCTTTTCGTTATACTCTGATCAAACACCAAAATAATAAGCTTTAAATAAATGTCGATCATTTATTTCTCAAAATAACGTTAAGAAATGTTTTCCCGTCACAATTTAATTTTATTTCAATTTATTCTTTTTAACATAGGTTGGCAAAGACAAAAGGACTATAGAAAGACAAAGTTTGATCAGAAGAGAGAATGATTCACAGACTTGCTTAGTCTTCTAATTGAATGTTAAACTTTTGAATATTGAATAATGTCTGTGTTTATTCAGTTTTATCTTAACTTTTTTATTTTATGTTATAATTCAAAAATATTATTTATGTTTCGTTATATTATAATTATAATAAATCTCAATTTTTACATACTCCTCTTTAAATCTGAATTAGTAAAAAGTGGGCCACTAATTCAAATTAGTAATAATGTGGCGGATTTGTTTAAGTACTTCAGATTTGCATTTTTGTAGAAGTAACTACGAAAGCTTTCTTAAAAAACATTGTCGGTTTTTTATGTTTGGAAAACTTTATTCGTATTGTCTAATTTATAGTGAAATAGTTGATTCAATAACACTCTAATTTACGTGTTCCAGAAAAAGGTTTTTCTATACTGAGAATTTAGTGATTTCTTCGATGTTAAAAAATTGAGCTTGATATAATCGAGCAGGTTATTTTCCAGTGGCAGTTTTCTGCTTGAAGAATTCGAAATCATTTCGCAATCGTATTTAGTAAAGTGGAATAAAATGAAATCCTTTCGATCCTCCAGTCACGAAGTCGGAGTCGTGTTTTATCCTTGCGTTATTCATGAGCGACTTGGTCTAAGTGCCAGTGAGGAAAGCTGAGAGAGCACTGTTTTCCAAGTAGCTTTTCTTGTTCAGTCATGGCCGAGTGGCTCTTTCAAGCCCTTTGTATTTGCCGATTAGTTTATTAGAGTAGGGACTGTTTCCAGTGTTTCCTCTGCTCTACAGGTATCAACAGCTCCGGGTAGTAGATAGCAAACGGGAGCAAGGGACAGAGGGATAGAGAGAGGATGTAGGAGAGCTTAAGCCTGAATTATGGAGCATAGAACCCAATGCTAGGCCAACGTTGACACAATGCAACTTGGTCTTCAGTACACTCAATTGTAGAATGAAGCGTTTGTGCAATGAACACATGTGCGTTTAAATCAAAATCGAATTACAATTCAAATAGATTCAACAATGTCATTTACAAGTCAAATATTACACTCTATGTAATTTCACTTAAAAATCAACATTCTATGATTACTCTTCTGATTATTCAAATTTTAGAAAAAGTTAAATACTGACAGAAGGCCAAAAGACAAGATTTATATTTTATTTATTCAATTATACTTTAATAATAATGAGATCGACTCTGAAGGAAACGACTCCTAATTAATTTATTTTGAGTCACCGTCCATTTGACAATGAGGCCTCGTCTCATTTTTATAATTTTAAATTTTAATTATTTTACGCAAAAAAGAATAGAACACAACTTGACTCTACGAACACCAGTATGAGAATGAAAGTAAAATGGCAGACGAGTCAAACTCGAAATCGTCGCTAAACAGCGGCCTTTATTCTCGGTGTCATTGAGATCAATTAATATTCAATAATATAATACCCGCGACCGAAAATCAATACGCAGATCCCTGCACTATCCGATGTTAAATTGATTGATGCGAGAAGTCCATAGGAAATTGGCTGCCAATAATAGTTTGACAAATCGTCAACAAAACAACAATTTTGTCTTCCTGGTGTTCTTGAATATTTGGGACTCTCATCCAAATATATACATCAAGCTCTTCCCCTGGTGACTTCTAATTTCAATGATAGATAGTGATGTTCTCCACGTCTTTGTGACCCAGCGAGAATCCTCAATGCCTCGCGAGAGTTTTCATAACAGAACGAAAGGACAAAATCAGAATCGAATTTATTTATTATATGTCGACTATTAATCTGACGACTTTCTACGACAAAATGCCGCGTAATAATTTTAAAATGGTTAACATAAATATTACAAAGAAATATTACTATGTTAAACTAACAATAAATACTAATTTTTAAATTCAGGTGTTTGTTTTAGAAAATTATACGCGCGAAACGTTAATTCTTAGATGTCATTTGTACTGTAATATGAACCTCAGGTGACATATAAAAAATGATATAATCCACTTTTCCTGAAAATACCTTTCAGTTTGAGTAAATAATGTGATTATATTTCAAGCCATATATAAAATTAACATATTTTTACAGCGTTTCACTAAGAAAAAAATTATCTAATGCAGCTACAAATTATGTATTATAAATCTATGCTTATTCAAAATTTCAACAATGTGGATGCCTCGTATGTAAACCTAATTTGCGAACAATAAATTTAATAGGGTTAACCGTTTTGTGTAAAGCCAAATTTTCAAAATAGTATAGCAATTTTCGTAAATTGTTTCCACAATTTTCATAATTAGCATATCTCATTGCATAAGCTTGCACAATTTCAATGAAACCAGAGAGTCAAACTATTTAGAAGTTTATCTAATTTAATGTTCTATTTTATATATACATATTCCATAGTATATTGTAACTCTTCATAAAATAATGTAAGCAAAAGAAAACTTTTTACAAGAGATAATATTTAAGAATCGTGGAATATAAACAAAAAAGCGACTGACGATATTTCAGAGTGATGTAAATATGACCTAATTACTTAGAGCTCATAATAAGCTATCATTATTTAATTTTCTGTCAAATATTTACAGTTTCCAATATTATTTGTTTTAATTAATTTTTTTCTAAATCAATATGACTGTTTAATTTGGTAAATTATTTCACCGTTGATAGATTAGATTGATTATTGAAAAAAAACAATAGCAAACTAAATTTGTTGAGCACTTTTTGTTGATCTTAGAAAAATTCAGTTAAACGAATGAAAAGACAATATAATTATTTAATGTATTTTGTTAGCTCATAGGTAGTCTCAATGAAAGAAGAATTTTTATACCATAATAAAATGTCCAGTTAATCACAATTTCAATCGTTGGTAATTTTTTTGATAACGACTGATATCTTTGTTGTTTATCTTGTATCTAAAGAATGTTAAAAAGATTTTTTTTCTATCAGTTAAGACATGGGGTCTAGACTTCATTCACTTTTATGGGCGACGGATATACCAGGCG